GAATTATCATTAGCTAGAGAGTTCTTTTCACTGTCAATGGAGGAAGTAGAATCCAGTAGAATTGATGCATCGCAACCCTGTATTATTTCAAATCACACCAAAGAATAAGATTCCACTCAAAATCATATATGATAAAAAAAAAAAAAAAATGGGTGTATAGATCAGAGTATTACGTTAACGAAACAGTCATGAAAATGCAGACGCAATAAAGAGGCACCCATGCGGCGCTCTTGTCTAACGGCATTGAAAACGATGCGTCGAATGGTTGGCAGAGCTTGAGGACACACTCTTTGATAGTAGAATGGGGAAAGAGAGTCGGAAAATGCCATTGTGACAAAAGAGAACAACAGTATTGTGCTGAGGAAGTAGCTACCGGAAGCCATTTGAGCTAACTAGGTTAGTATATGGGTTATTGCAGCTTTAATTACTACAACGTAACGTAGTACGAAACAAATATGCAATTGAGTTTTGTGTTGTGTTGTGTTGTTTGGTGATCTATGATACTATGAAGCATAAACCTTTTATAGGATAACCAAGAGCACAAGTTAGCACACTTTATGACTTGGCCTGGTTGCAGCCCTAATTAATAATTGACAGTTTCAACGCGGCAACGAATACCTATTCTCAAATTAATTTGAAAAGGTCCTAATCAAGACAAGTCCAGTTTGCCTTACACAAGCAGATTATAGTTGACATCTTTTGTAGAATTGCAGTGTAATTATTCAATTATTGTTTTTATATTTTTATTGTTTAATTGGCTGTGCATTTAATCCAAATTAGTAGTTGTCGACTTTCGTAACAACTTGCTTGCGGTGCAAACTAACTTACTGATTTCGCTCATTTTAGGTCCTTAACCTTTAGTTGGGGTTTCATCACTAAAATAAACATTAATTATCAACCTTTAAAAAGTTACAATTCGATTGTATCTTCGATCCTAAAAAGTAATCTCTCATTTTTGTTTCTCAAATTCTTCCTCAATCCATAAAAACAAGTATTTAGCAAAGATTTTGCGATAAGAGTAGTGTATATATGAAGATTTATAGAGGGAGTTTGGAAAAAATTTACAAAATGTTCACTATGTCCTTTAATAATTTGAAAATTCAAAATAAACGGTTAATGTTAATAAAATATGAAAAAAAAATTGTAATTTATGTCCCTTCATAATATGTAAATTATCAATGTCAATCTTGAATTATTAGTGTTGTAAATGTTGTCCTTCAATTTTCAAAACGGTACGTATATTGCCCCTTAAATACCGTACGAGATGAAAATTGAGAGACAAGATTTAAACTACTAATAATTCAAAAGTGACATTGATGGAAGGGTATAAATTATAATTTTCTTTAGAATATATAAGTAATGGATTTAAAACGACACTTTTAACATAATTAAAAGGGAAATATTTGTATACGATAATAATTTATGGTCTAAATTTACAATTTAAATATAATTAATGTACTAAAACTTTCGTTTTCAATAATTGATAAATTGATAAATCAATCAATACCCAAAAAAGCTGTCAAAATGTACCCACTGCTATTCTATTCGAAAGTGTTCACATTCATTTTGAAAAAATCCCTAACTACTACACCGTAATTTATTACATTCAAACAAAACCTCTAACGAATTCATGGGAGAAGAATTAATGCTCGATCTAAGCTTATCCATTTAACTTGATATGGATTGTGTCAGCGTAACTGCGTAAGGATGGAGTGGCGGCGCGCGGTGGCATATAGTCTTTTTTTTTTTTTTTTTAAATACTTATAATTATTTACAAGATAGTATTTGTTTTATATTTTCTTAAATATTTTCATCCCAAGAAATCTGAGCTCTCCCTACCCGTGTTCGAACATATGACTATTTATTTAAAATGATAAACAAGATGTCATTACACTAGTTGACCGGTGGCATATAGTTAGTGTCCTTTTTCGTGTTGTTAATCTTAATTATTGATTTTGTCAAGTTTTCGGCATTTGTTAATGATTTGACCTAGCAATGTCGTCTATGAAAGGTTAAACCTTTTCACGGGTTTTCCGTTAAGGCGTTTACTAATTTCTATCATTCATGCATTAAGAGGTCTCAGTCTACGCCAATAATGGAAAGTCAAATATTACATGATGATATCTCATTTTTAAAATGTTTCGAATTTAAAGTGGTTATTGAATCATAAATATATATATATATATATATATATATATATATATATATATATAGAGAGAGAGAGAGAGAGTAAATATTTTGGTTCTTCATATTCCGCTAATATGAACTCAATGTATTACGTTTATGAATCAAATTTGTCCATTTCAACAACAAACCAATTTTTATATTATTACACTTAAATTTAATGTTTACTAAATAGATATTTATAACCGACCAAATTTGGAACAAAAATAATAGTCAATGGACTATTTTATGGTCAAATTGAAAGTCGAGGAAGAAAATTGATAAATGTAAAAAGTTAAGAGACCATTTATGATTCAATTGAAAGTCGATTATGAAAATTGATTAATGTCAATATTCAAAGGACTATTCCTGAAATTAACTCTTTAATTTTATATTCACATTTAATTAACATGTTCATTTTTAGTGGGTTCAATTAATTATATTTTTCTACAATTTCATTTTTCGTGTAGTACAAGTCAAAAAGAACATATAATACACTAAAAATAAAATTATAGTAATATACTAAAAATGAACATTCATCAGTCTATCATATTTAATAAAGTAAAAGTGGACCTATAGATCGAATGAGGCCGGCTGTCGAAGCTCACCCCACACTTAATTGCAAGATGAGGTGGATTAACCTAATGGATTTATTTTCAAAAAAAAAAAAAAAAAAAAAAAAAAAAAAAAAAAAAACCTAATGGATTTAAACTGTTTTGACTGCTCTAATCTTATTATAGCTAATCTACGATATAAGTATTGATAGAGCTCCCCATAAAAATCTACAAGTTTTTGTTTAACCCAATAAGGGTATTTGCCATAACATAGATGAACTAAAAAAATATTATCACTTCAAATACGTAATTAAATACTTGGTTAAAAAATAAAAAAAAAACACATGTAATTAAATACTCAATATGTGAAGTCCCAACTCCCAAGGTACCAATAGAAAGAAGTAAAAAGAATATTAAAAAAAAAAACTGAAATATAACGAATACTATATATGATTTCTCAATAATACACATTTTTGAATACCAATTTTACACTTAGCTTGCATCCTTTGAAAAAAAAAAAAAAAAAAAAAAAAAAAAAAAAAAAAAAAAACCAATACAAAGAACTTCACACAAACATTATCCTCCGATCCCAAGCTGCTTTAATTTTGTGCCATTGAGTATTTCTCAACCGTTCACACTCAACTGCAAATGTAAATCAATTCACATTCTTACAATTCACCCGAATCTGACCATTATTACCGGTCAAAGGCTTAATATTACCCATCTTAATCATAGACTGAGCAAAATCATTAGCAAAAACACGAATGTTTCCGCTATAAGTGTTGACAAGATTATCAGTCTGACCACCATTGAACAATACTTGATCGGAGTGCAAAAGCCCTTTCTTCATCACCAAGTTACTGAAATATCTAGTGTCAAAGAAGGCAGGAGAAGGGTCGAGTGGAGCAAGTGTAGAGTTGCCTCCAACGCGTGGACATGAAGCTTGGCGTTGTACTGCGAAGCCTTGATCAATGTTGGTTTCATTATAGATGCGATCTCTGAAGGTTCGGCACTGGGCAAGCCCCAATGTGTGGCCGCCGGAAAGTGCAACCAGATCTTTAACATCAAGGCCTTGCTTTGAGAAATTATCAATTAGAGCAGTCAAGTCCATGAAAGGTGATGGAAGGTTGTTGTCGGCGTCAGTTCTGCTGGCGGTTGTGGAGTCCCTTCTCCCAAGTTGCACTGTCCATGATGGACCTCCTAACTGTAAAACATATATAAACCCAAACAATAAATTGAAAATATTCGATCACATATATAATTATTAAGTAATGAATTTAAATAGTATAGGTAATGAGGTAGTTACCGCAAATACAGAGTCACGAGCAGCAACAGCTAAAATGTCAGCACAAGAGACTACCGGACCATTACAGACTTTATCAACAGCAGACTTGATTCGATCAATAACTTCAAAACCTCGCGCAGAATTAGCATTTGCTAGAGAGTTCTTTTCACTGTCAATGGTGGAAGTAGAATCCAGTAGAAGTGATGCATCACAACCCTGTATTATTTCAAATCACGCCAAATAATAAGATTTCACTCAAAAGTAATGTATATATAATAATTCATAAAAGAAAAAGGGTGAAGAGTATTACATTAACAAAACAATCATGAAAATGGAGACGTAATAAAGAGGCACCCATGCGACGCTCTTGTCTAACGGCGTCGAAGACAATGCGCCGAATGGTTGGCAAAGCTAGAGGGCACACTTTTTGATAGTAGAATGGGGAAAGAGAGTCGGAAAATGCCATTGTGGCAAAAGAGAACAACAGTATTGTGCCGAGGAAGTAGCTACCAGAAGCCATTTTGAGCTAGCTAGTAATTAAGTACTACTACAACGTAGTGCAAAACAAATATGCTTGAGTTTTGTGTTGTGTTGTTTGGTGATTTTTGATACTATGAAGCATAAACCTTTTATAGGATAAGCAAGAGTACAAGTTAGCACACTTTAAGACTTGGCCTGGTAGCAGCAGCCTTAATTAATAATCCACAGTTTCAACGCGGCAACGAATACCTATTCTCAAATTAATTTCAAAAAGGTCCTAATCAAGACAAGGCCAGTTTGCCCTACATAAGCAGATTATCGTTGACATCTTTGTAGAATTGCAGTGTAATGCAATTATTGATATTATATATTTTTTTCATTTAATCCAAATTAGCACTTGTCCACTTTCGTAACAACTTGCTTTGCTGTGCTAACTTATTGATTTCAATCCATTTAAAGTCCTTAACCTTTAGTTGGGATTTCACTAAAATAGACATTAAGCATCTGCCCATGACCTTGTGGTCTAGTGGCATAAAGTGACTCTGACTCTTTGCAGGGCCGGTTTTTAGATTTTTGTGACCCTGTTCGGATAAATAAATAAGACCCTACTAAAATTAAAATCTTTAAAACTAATACCGTAATTTTATTATCTAAATATATAACAAAAAAAAAAATTATTCGTGCATCGCACGATACAACCCATTTCATCAATTGCACTATATAATATTCGTTGTTATAATTTAAAGATTATAACAAATCTTTTCCGTGCAACGCACATGTAAAAATAGACATATTATGGAATAATAATAATAGGTAAAATTAGTAATCATTGGAAATTAGTATAAGACTCAGCTCGAAAATATCAACGCTGGAATGGGCACCTAATCCTCAAGCTGAAATGGTCTTCCTCTATTAAGAAACAAAATTAAAGAACTTCATGGACATATGTATAGTCAAATGCCAATTATTATTTATATTATTTTAAAATTGGAATAGAATTAGCCGTGATTTTCGAAACAACTTGCATCCAACGTAGCCAACTAATCAATTTCACTTTCCCTAAGTTTATGTTACACCAAATATACTTGAAAATTAAACTGTGTTTCTCTGTCAAACAGTCTCAAGATGGAATTCCTTATAAGAAAGGGTTTTGAATGTATCATTATATTGCTCGCTAGCTGGAAAAATATATATCTTTGATGAATTTGAAAATTAAATTAACCTTAAACAATAATTACTAAGATGCTCTATACCGTATCTATAAGGCAGTGCCGCAGTCACTACTGGAAATTCTGAAATTTCCGACCACCTGAAAGTGATCATAAATCAAGTTGAAAGTCTTGTTCCGACCACTTTTGGTATCCGGAAAAACCTTTGTTGCTATTTCCGACCACTTTTTGGACTTTTTGGTATCAACTTAATTTAAGATCATTTTCAGGTGGTCGGAAATTTTAAAATTTCCAGTAGTGAGTGTTTACACATAAATGTCAATGATTATAACGCCTTACCTTTAAATTTAAATTAAAAGTTTAAATTTAAATGGATGAGTTAATTTTATAAATATTGTAAACTTAAAAATATACAATAATTATAACATTGATTCCATAATTTTTTTTACAATAATTATAACATGACGGTTTCAATCCACATGTTTAATTACAATCAATTTTCATTATGCATGATTATTATTTTTGTGTCAAAATTGATCATGTCGGATCACAAGTCATCCCTCCAACTAAAACATGCCGGATTGTATAATTTATAAGGGTATTTTCGTCCATTCATGTTTAATATGCCAATTCCATTAATGTATGAACTTCCATCCAAATATTGAAATTGCTACAATAATAGAGCATATTTTGGATGGGAGTTCATATATTAATGAAATTGGCATATTAAATATGAATGGACAAAAAACACTTACAAATTACACATCTTGCATGTTTTAGTCGGAGGGATTATCGGCGTGATTAATTTTGACACAAAAACAATATTAAAATTGGTAATAATTAAACATGTGAACCAAAACTATCATTTTGTTAATACTCGTGGAATCAAAATTGGTATTTGCTCTTTTAACATTATATTATGTTCTTAACTATTCTTATTACATGAAAAAAAAAAAAAAAAAAAAAAAAAGATAAATAATTTTCCTTACTTGCCTATGTATATTCGACCTTTGAAACATTCTACACTTTTTATTCCTATGCCAAGCACTTGTTTTCAGATGACATGTAGTGACTTTCCCATATGGGAGGTCATGGATCGAGCCTTAGTGGAGGCGGTGTTGACTCTTTGCCTTTCAACAGATTGAAAATCTATAGATGAATAGATACTACAATGTTAAGCTTTCAAAAAAAAAAAAAAACTTTTTATTCCAATGATCAGCCATAGAGATTTGTATGTGTGTGTGTGTGTATATATATATATATATATATATGTATATATATATATATATATATATATATATATATATATATATATATATATATATATATATATATATATATATATATATATATATATATATATATATATATATATATATATATAGAGGAGTGATCACATGTGGCCATGTTGTTAGGTGTGGTCATATGGTTAATTATAGACCATTAGATTAGATAGATCTAATGGATCATATTAATCAAGATTTTTTCAGTATTTTCGCGCACATTCTTCTACCCAGCGAACTGTAAGGGTAAACTTGTCATAAAACACCGGAATAAGGAAAATCACATTGTTGTGTGTTTTATTACACTATTGGTGCATGTTGTCAACACTGTTGGTGTATTCTGGAACTCGACGGCTATAAATGGCCACTGTAATTACCATAACACGGGAATACACCATTGGTGTGTTTCACTGTGGTGTGTTTTATTACACTATTGGTGCATGTTGTCAACATTGTTGGTGTATTCTGGAACCCGCCCGCTATAAATGGTCACTGTAATTACCATAACACCCCCACTTACTAAAACGCGCGAAAATCCTCAGAATTACCACAGCCTTTAGATTAAACTGATTCAACGACACAGATACAACCACACGACCACACCTAATGACATGACCACATATGAGCGTTTTTCTATATATATATATATATATATATATATATATATATATATATATATATATATATATATATATATATATATATATATATATATATATATATCAGATAAATTAAAACAGTTCAAGTGTTCATCAATATAACGTAGACAAATAATCTAGTAGACTTGTTTAAGTAGTAATAAGGTTCATATTTATTCAAGTAGCTAGTATAATCATACGATATCTTAGTTAAAATTGAAATGAGCACAAACCAACGGCACATAATCCGTAGAATGTTGAGTGACATTCAGGATATTCAAAAGTAAAAGTTACATTAATAAGACTCTATTTAATTTCTTTTTTTTTTTTTTCTGATGAGGAAAATGCGAAACCATTGCGAAGCTTTATTTAATTGGTAATATAATTGTTGGGTGGCATTTTGATTGGGTCTCGATCAATTGATTTTCCTGCAGTTCTTTCTAATTTGACCATTTGAGCCCGTGAGAGGGCTGAGAGTACTCATTTTTACTATAGCTTTTGTAAAATCTGAAGCAAAGGTCGAAGGGTTTGCACTATAAGTGTTGACTATAGAATCTGTAAAACTTCCATTGAAGAGCGCTTGATCTGAATGCAAAAGTCCTTTTTGGCTAAGCAAGTTCTTAAAGTAACCATTGTCAAATGTCTTTGGGGTGCTATCAAGTGGAGCAAGGTTATTGTCATCCTTGCTTCGAGGACAGATTGCTTGCAATGATCTTGCGAATGAGGCATTTATATTCGTGTCATTATAAATTCGATCTCGAAAACTCACACACCTAGCTAGCCCTATTGTGTGAGCTCCTGCACAAAATTAAAATAAGTGAAACATAGTTAACAATTAGAAATTGAATGGCATAACAATTAGGATCAATAACCAATATATATAATATATATATATATATATATATATATATATATATATATATATATATATATTATTAGAACAAACCTGAGAGAGCAACCATTTCCCTGACACTAAAGCCTTTGTTTGAGAAAGAAGAAATGAGTTGACTGAGATTGAAAGCTGGTGCAGGAAGGTCCCTGTTAGCATCACTGAAACTTGCAGTAGTTGAGTCTCTTCTGCCTAGTAAAACCTTCCAACTCGGACCACCTAGCTGCAATATAATTTTGTCACACCTTAGCTTGTTTAATGAATTATAATTCAAATTTTGATATAATTTTAGTAGTTTGTTAATAATTAGTGTTGTTATTCCTAACATGACTTATACTTGCAGTGTGCTATGACTCCAATGAGTATGACTTTGGCAAGAATTATCCATTGTGTTATATATGGACTACTTTGATCCATAATATGTAATCTAAAACTAGTATAATTCAAAAAAAAAACAAAAAAAAAAAACAAAAAAACAAAAAACAAAAAAAACAAAGGCTTAAGAGATGTAAATAAATGGAATATGATGAGAATATTTAATTTATTACCAAAATAACCGAGTCTCGACTTGCAATGGTTAAAATATCTGCACAAGATACGACACCAGGACAAGATTTCTCAACTTGAGTTTTAATTTTATCAATCACGTCAAATCCTCTAATTGATCCCTTATTTGGGGCAGCAGACTTCTCCCCGATAAAGTTTACCGTGTCATCCAGCAATATTGATGCATCACAACCCTATTTCAATTATTTTGTTAGAAACAAAACAAAACAAAAACATTTAAAATTGAAATTGTTAATAATATCATCTCAACATACTTGGTTTAACTGATTTTTTTTTTTTTTTTTGTGTATATTTGACAAAGATTATAAAATATGAATTGCACTGCACATTATATTTAAATAAAATATAATTAATCCATGAATAATTCATAATTATAAGCAAAGAGGGACATAGATAATGTAGGGTTGTACGTAAAACTTGCATTAACGAAGCAGTCATGGAAAAGGAGACGAAGCAATGATGCTCCCATCCGAGGCTCGGCCAACACAGCATAGCGAACGCCAGATTTGATTATGGAAAGCACTTTAGGACATGACTTTTTGTAAAAATTTTCGGACAACTTAGCAGAGCTCATCCCCAAGAGGAAGGAGAAGAGTAGTATTAATGCAACATTATACATTGAAGAAGGAATGGGATTCATCATGACAAAGGGAGGAGAGAATAAAGAGAGATTGTCTCAACTTTCAATAGAAGATGGCTTGGCTTGTGGTTTATTGCTTCCTCTCTTCATTTATTTATAGCAGATCAGAGATCAAGAGAACATTATTTGCATGTGTACGTTACATGGCATTGCACATTTGATTTTCACAAAAATGAAAAGTTAATTACTCTATTAACGAGTAATAGAGTAATGTGATCAAAAGTCAAAAGCCATTTTAATTTCAAGCATGTACAAAGTACTTTCTTATTAATTAGTGTTTAATTAACCTAACTTAAGCTATCAGAGAAATCCAGGTTAACACGTATGATATACAAGAAGATGTACAGAATACATCATATATATTGATTGTTTTCAACATGTTTCATTTAAGGATGTAATTTAGGACCTTAGGGGGTGTATCCAATCAAGATTCATATATATTAACTTTGAGTTAATTCCAGCAATGGTCCTTCGACTATATTGATTTTCCAAAATTAATCCTCGACTTTTAATTTGGACACTTTACGTCTCTTGACTTTCAATTTCTTTTCAATTGAGGTCCTTTCGTTAAATTACGGTAAATTGAACTCTAAATGAAAGGGTAAAATAGTCATTTCATCTGCCTAATGTATAATTCTTCGTATATCTCCCTTGTATGCGCGACGTCGGACATCAGATTCACTTAATTGCTTAATCTTTGAATCCACTCGAAGAACAAAATTCCATAGGGATTAAGCAATTAAGTGAATCTGATGCCCGAAGTCGCGTATACAAGGAAGAAATATGAAGAATTATACATTAGGCAGAAGAATTATACATTAGGCAGATGAAGAATTATACTTTACTCTTTCATTTAAAGTCCATTTTATCGTAATCTGATGAAAGGACCTCAATTGAAAAGAAATTGAAATTCAAGGGATGTAAAGTGTTCAAATTAAAAATTGGGGACTAATTTTGGAAAATCAATATAGTCGGAGGACGATTGCTGGAATTAACTCTATTAACTTTTGTGGATGGACTTTTGAAATGGTAGACTTTTATTTATAGATTTTATAATAAATTTTAAATGACTCTTAGAATCTCTTTAGATTTTGGTAGACATGGTCCACTGTTACAAATTTTAATTTATTTCTATTAATATTTATTATTTATATTATCATTTTCTTTCAAAACTTTTATGAAATGCTGTATATTTTTATAGATCGTATATAAATTTATGTTGTGTAATTAAAAAAAAAAATCAAATTTGATTGTTACAAAAATAGTGCATTATAAATTTAAAGACAATTTCATTTTTCTTTAAATGATGTAATATTAATTACACAACACTAAAAAAAAAAAGAATATATATTCAAATTTGTTTTTAGTGGTTAACTCAAAGGAAAGGGATTTCCGTATTCGTATCTTTTGGCGGAAAGATTAAAACTATAATGAAGAAAAAAAAAATCGGTAAAATTTAGGGGAAAAGTTTAGTGAAGGCAAAGAGAAAAAGTTTGATATTTTGAGATTCTACAAAATTCTGAATCAAATATTATATTACCTAAATTTAATTTTAAGAACTCCTTAAAATTTTGAACTAAATACTTTCAATTTTAAAATTTTATAAAATTTTTCCAGCAACTTATCTGGTCAAGACCAGTTTACTCTTAAGACCAATACACTTTCTTAACTAGCTAGTTTAAAGAGTAATAATACACATATTTTCAATTTTTACTCTATTTTTTTACTTCTTGTTAGGCGGAGACTTGAAATGTCAAGTCTATCATCTTGTCATCGAAACGTGACGCGAACATAAGGAAATAAAGTTATATATTCGCTACAAATTATAATTTTTTGCGTAATACGTGATAAACCGCATTTAAGTCTAGTATGCATGTTAACCAATTCAATCCCGGCCCATTGATGAGGCTAGCAGGTACTAGGAGCGGAGGGTCGTTCAAACCCAATTGAATGAATGTTGTGTAGTTGAGGGCCTGAGGCTGACAAGTGCTAAGGAGGGAGAATGCATATTACTATGCAAGTATAAGGAAATTAAATTAAAATAAAGTGTGTCTTAGCTATAAGTTATATCTTTTGACGTAGTGGTAAGCACTTGATCCTAACACTCCTTACTTACCTAGTGTGTTTTGATTACTTTTTTTTTTTTTTTTTTGTCAATAAAATTACGACACGTACTTGGTGGAACTTTTACACTATAAGTCCACATATATGGAGAGACCCTTTATTATGGGATGCTAGATAATAAATGTGACATATATTTAGACTTTAAATTGCAATATATATCACATTGTTCAAACTTGTCATATCAAAACTTATGTGGAGAGACCTTTTTTAATGACAAGAGAAACACGTTGCCACTATTCTAGCTGATAGAATTTTGTGACTCTAGCTGATAAAAAATTTATGTAAACCAACCTAAGTAATTATGAATTTAGAATTAACTGACTCAAACAAAAAATATACATTATTAACGGCTCCCAAATATGGTGTAACTCAAATTCGTTGGTACCTTTCACCCTACATTAATATGTATGTGCTCGTCAACTATCCCTACATAGTACATAACTACATATCAACGACTTTTGCATTTTCTCCACGTGATAACCGTACGTCGTACCATTGTGAGTATTAATTAAACTCTATCTGGTAAACCAATTCTTTTTTTTTTTTTTTTGTATTATAGTTAATTCTCACCATCCGATTTTTATATGAGCAAGTTCTTTTCTTTTGTGTTAATTCTAGAAGGTAAAACAATGAGAGAAGAACACCAGGGATCGAGTCTCACCAGCGGCAGTGTGAGAGCAACCTCTCAAAGTGAGGGGGGCTTCTTGTGAGCAGTGAGCACCGGTCTAACCTCTATGGTTCATGTTCAGTTGAGTCACCATGATTTACATCCTCCCAAAGACCCTGTCGGGCCGGGGTGTGGGGGCCCTTAGGGTTGGGCTTCAGCCTTTGGAATAATGAGAGAAGAACAAAATGAAGATAAAGCAAAACTGGTTTTTTTTTTCTTGATTTTTGAAGACAGCATCTTCCACCAGTTTTTTTTCGTTTAGGTATATGATATCTCCACTATTGTAAGATAAATTCAAATTAGGTACGAATCATATTTTCACAAAATTTAAATTTTATCCAAAAAAAATAGTCTAAAATCTTTGACAAGTTGATTATCTTATTTTTCTCTGGATTATTGGAAATCCATCTATTCCAGGGAATAGATATTAGGTTCTATCTAGCGGGGAACATGTGCTTGTAAAGGGAACACCCAAGAATTAATTAACATAATGCGTCCGTGATGGCACTCAATGTTGGAAAGTTGACATTAATTAATTAACATGTGAGTTGTACGTACGTTATTTTAATTGTGTTCAATACTTCAATAGTAAACTGAATTATGAATTGGTTCTCAAATGAGGAGATAATATTTTTTTTTGTACTGACACTGTTAGAATGCAGTATCGGTTCATAACTACTTTTTTAAAATACTAAAGCACAAAGAGTCAATACTGACTCCACTGAAACTTGAACTCGCAACTTCATATATGAGAAAGCAACTTGGTGCTACTAGACCACAAGACCCTTGGCATGAGGAGATAAATTTAATATATTTATATATTCAAAATGATTAATGATAAATTAATTTTTATGGTGTATCCATGAAGTTAGAGAAAAGACGTTTGGAAAAGTTTATCCTACATTGAAAGAAAATAGAATGACAATCTTAAGTCTTGAGCTTGTGTTTTCAAAAAAAAAAAAAAAAAAGAAATTAAAATAAAAAAATAAAAAAATCGTGAGCTTGTAATTAACGAACACGGATGTGTAATATTGACGAATTAAACCTTCCTCCATCCCTATCATTATTATATATGTAAATTATTCAAACATTTCCATGCAGCTCCTTCAATTCATTTGGTCCAAAAAAACTGTTTTAGATTGCCTAATTAAGCAAAGCATGTAAAGTCAAATAAGAAAAGCTTTTTTTTTTTTTTGCTAATATGTTTGGTCGTCCTTGCTCCATAGCTGCGGGATAGAGCCAAGAAAAATTTATTATGTAAGGATCATATTATAAGGACTAAATTTTTTCATCAAACTCTTTCATTATCTAATGTAACAATATTAGCATATTCTTTTTCAAACGTAAGGCTGGATTATTCAATTCATGGTAATTTATTTTATTATTATGTCAAATGGTGAGTTGCATGTATTTCTCAATTAACTTTCTACCAAACTAAAATAATATTCATAATTTCACAATTTCAAATATTATTTAGGCTTTCATGGTAGTATATCTGAAACATTAATCGTCATTGCTATATAAACTTTCAACAGATTGATTACTAACTTTAAAGTGTGCTTCTGTTGACAATCTTGACATACCATTATATTAATGTTTTATTTTGTTAAATAAAATTGAGAAACCCACTCTTTCTAATTATGCAATAAAATATAGTTTTAAATTTAATTATTTTCCAAAACAATGTACTTTTTACCTAGTGTCATCACCACATTATAAACTAATAAGTATTCAAAAATATTAGTAACAAGAAGTCAAGAATTGAACCTGATACTGTACAGAAATTGGGCACACTACTCAATCCTAAAGAACAATAATTTCACCCATACTACTCATCTCTATATATATAATTTGAGTATTTGAATCTTTATATTAATTATTCTCAATAATTTCTCTCTTGCCATTAAAATTTAAAATCTGCAGCCTTTATTCTATTGCATGAAATTTAAATTCTATTCCTAACAGTTTTTTGCATAACCTAATATAATAATCAAAATATTCAATTAAGCACAAATACATAGCAACCATTGCTAAATAGCCCAATACTTTTGTTTCCATTATTTTGTTGCTCAAATAATGGAAGAATTGAAGTTTTATATTGCACTGGAAAGCATAATTAACGTTGCTTAAGTAACACATGTATTCATACAATTAACTGCCAATGGATAAAAGAAAAACATTATCTTCTAACATCAATCCGACTTGTTTGCTCCACCCCCATACAAAACACTGAAATACGATTACATTACTATTGCAAAACTTTATTTGACAATTGTAATATTTGATTATTAAAACTAAAAATATACGCATTGGCATTTTGAATGCAACTCAATTGGTTTTCCTGCAATTCTTCCTAATTTGGCCATTTGAACCCGTCAGAGGGCTGAGATTACCCATTTTCACCATAGCGTTTGCAAAATCTGAAGCAAAGGTAGAAGGATTTGAGCTATAAGTGTTGACTATAGAATCTGCAGAACCTCCATTGAAGAGCTCCTGGTCGGAGTGCAGAAGTCCTTTTTGACTCTGCAAGTTCTTAAAGTAATTATTGTCAAATGATGTTGGAGTAGTGAAATCAAGTGGAGCAAGATTGCTGTCACCACCACTTTGGGGACAGTTTCCTTTCAATGATGTGGCAAATGTGCTATTTATATTGGCGTCGTTATAGATTCGGTTTCTGAAAGTCGTGCATCTAGCCTGCCCAATTGTGTGACTACCTGCACAACAATACGTGTAACATGTTTTAGTATTAGAAAGGACAACTTAAATTGTTATCTTAATAATTAGGGTTAAATATACTAAAACAAACCTGAGAGGGCAACCATTTCCCTAGTGCTAAAGCCTTTGTTTGAGAAAGAAGAGATGAGTTGACTGAGACTGGAACTTGGTCCAGGAATATTGCTGTTAGCACCACTCAAACTTGCTGTGGTTGAGTCTCTTCTGCCTACTACAACACTCCAACTAGGTCCACCTAGCTGTAATAATAAAATATTGTAACACTTTTAATGAACTAATAATTTCAAAATTTTCACATAATTTAGTTTGTCCTCATTCGTGGTTTATGATTGGTATTTTTTATTCCTAACTTTGACTTGGTCATGCATGCTGTGAGTCTTTGACTTAGACAATAATTATCCATTATAGTTTAAATATAGTTTAATTTGCAAACTATAGACACAAGAGGAGTAAATAATTTGTATATGATGAGAATATTTTTTTTTACCGCAACAACTGAATCACGAGCAGCAACAGAAACAATATCAGCACAAGATACAACACCAGCACAAGAACTCTCAAGTTGAGTTTTAATATTGTCAATCACGTTAAATCCTCTCAACGAATTGTTGTTTGGACCAGCAGTCTTCTCCCCCGTGAAGTTTGCTGTGTCATCCAACAGAACCGATGCATCACAACCCTGTTTCAAATTAAACAAAAACAGAAAAACTATGTTAACATTATTATATATGTCATAAGAAAGCCATCATATATATATATGTATGTATGTAGGGAATTGAAGGAAGACTTGCATTGACGAAGCAGTCATGGAAATGGAGACGAAGCAAGGAAGCTCCCATCCGAGCCTCGGACTTCACGGCAGAGGTTACGGCCGATTTGATAATGGAGAGGGCATTAGGGCAAGAGGTTGAGTAAAAATTTGCAGACAACTGAGCAGAGCTGATGGTGAAGAGAAGGGAGAAGAGTATGAGGCCTGCAACATTATGCAGTGAAGAAGGCATTATTGTAGTCTTCATGACAAAGCTAGCTAGGGAGAAGAGAAGAAGAAAGAGAGAGTGTTTAGCAAGTTAAGCTTCAGCTTCTCTCTGGGCTTGTGGCGTAGTATTGCCTCCCTTAATGGATTTTTATAGTGGCGATAGAGATGGTGTGGCACTGTGGCTGGGTCAAATCAGTGTAGACAAGTATACGCCAGCCGTGTACCATTGTAATGTTCTACAAACTCCTTTAAATTTTGTATACTCAAATATTCGTTTTTGGTATGCTTAACAAGATCATCAATATAATTCTTATACTATGGACCAGGTCCACCTTTAATATTCAAATTATGTACCTAGAATTAACATGTATTTTCAGTTAATAAATTATATATTTCTTACCATTAACATATTATGTACCTATATTTAATAAATTATGTATATGTAACAATTAACATATTATGTAAATGTCGTTAATATTATTATGTATATTCACTTAATAAATTATGTAAATATATATAATAATTAATATATTATGTCTATTCAGTTTATTTACAAGTACATAATGGATTAAGTAAAAATACATAATAAGTTAACTATCGTCGTCACATTATGGATGTTATCTTCAAATAGGGTCCACAACAAGCGAACTTTCTATTGATTAACGTAAACCCTCGTATTGTTATTTTTATCCATTTCTGAAGAAAAAAAATATGAACTCAATATCTTATTTTCAACTTCGATTAGACACACAACATGTCATAACATCTGCTAGTTGGTTAATTGTCTCAAGGATAACTTAACTAAATGACAAATTTGTAAGCAATTAAGACACATTTCACAATTTACTTTAATTATTCACTAAAATAACTTATTTTTTACATTTTAAAAAGAGTCATTGCAATAGAAGATATTTGAAAAAAATTCTTAACTATATTATAATATTCGTTTATTATTTAATTTTACACTTATATTCATCCATTCAATAAAAACAAAGCTATAAATAAATATGCCTAAGCAACATGATTACATGAGTAAGTATTTTCTTTTATATACATTATTCATTTTCGAATTGGTGTTTGATCAAATCAAGAGATGAGCTTTTCTAACACTTTTGTGTGTGAAAAGAAAACACCGCGGAATCTGCATTTGTCAATCATCGGAACGCTGCCGCCGGGAAGGTCATTAATTATTTTTGTTTTTTTTTTAAAGAGATAATACCATCTGTGGTCCTCTGATTATAATGATTTTGTTACGTTTAGTTTTAAATTTTTAAAATGACCACATGTGGTCCTTCAACTTTTAAATTGTTACCATCTGTGATTCAAGTTAACCATCAATAGTCCTTCAAATATCAAATTTTAACCAACCGTGGTCCTTCTAAGAAGACCACGACTAGTCACATTTTGAAAGTTGAGAGATCATGAATGGTTAACTTGGATTATGGATGATAACAATTTGAAAGATGATGAACCATGACTGATCAATTTTAAAGTTTAGAACTAAACATTACAAAATCATATACTCGAATGACCCAGATTAGCTTTTTTTTTTTTTTTTTTTTTTTAATGATACTCCGTTGCATGCTGAAACGCGTAATCTGTCTTTGCATGGATATCATGTGATTTCGACATCAATTGACTTTTTTTTTTCCCCGAAATAAATAAATAAATAAAAACTCCCATTGACAAATCACCATTACTGCCAAATGCCAATCATAGAAAACTCTAAACTTAGACCTTGACGAGTCAAAAAAGATGTTTACCCCGGTCCCACTTAACATATTTGGTTTATTATTCAATATTTACCTATTTAAAAAAATAAAAATAAAAATAAAACTAGTTATACTTGATACTATGTAGAAAAGTGTCCTCACAATATTTGATTGGTGTAACTTTAGAAGTTTAAGGAGCTTTTGTCCCACATTGAAAAAGTGATGTGAGTTTGCACGTACTAGTAAAAATATAATTCCTTTTTTATGAGAGTTTGAATTGTAGCATAGAGACTCTTTCTTACGCGCGCCTAAAAACTCTCACCTTTCATTTGCCCTTTTCGTATAAAATATCCAACAACCCCTCCGGGTAGGGTTGAACCCTAAAATGAACCACGTTCTTAAAAATGTTCAATAATTATAAAATTTACTCCATATTTTTTTACTAAAACTAGCAACCATTAATCAACCCTTTTGGACGGCTGAGATTAATCGTCACTTTTTACCAAATAATCATGTTCTCATTTGATCATGCCCCTCTCTATATATAGACACACAGACGCCGCCAACAACAACCACTACCAATAAAAATTTAGCAATAGCTTAAAGAAGGAGCATGATGAGTCAATAAAAGAGTTGAGTATTTGGAGTGGAGCAACCAATAAGAATCAAGTATCTTGCATGAAAGAATCATATCGAGCAATAAAATTTAAGAGTTAAAATTAATAGTCGCCCGGCCATGCGCCGGATATAGCCAAGATGATTTTATTTAGAACAAAATTATAGTCAAAGAATACAACGTAACATTCATCATTAATTTTATATTCATCTTTACATACATATTTCTTCGGAGTAGTTGTTGACAAACTATATCCATCGATCTATTGGGGTTTATTATCTTAAGAGACCAACATAATCACCAGAGATTTTTAGATGAGCGTTTATAATTAACATAATGAAAATAAATTCAAGACATAGTAAAAACTCAACAGGAGAAAATTTGTCATCTTTTTAAATAAAGCCAAACTAAAGATTCCACTATATTTTATGTAAACAGTGTTAAGCACAATATAATAAATATGCATCCCATTATGAATTTATAATTTAACGCATAGCTCAATTTTGCATGTTTGCCAATAGACTAATTTGGTTGCTAAAGTTCTGGTTATAAATTTTGGATTATCTATTGACTTACCCCATTACTTTAGATACAACACAACACTGGTGCAATGTTGTATTATATCATACTTAATACAACTGTGTATGTGTGTGTATATTCAATATATACATACAGACACTCAAATTTTACTTTTAGTGATATGATGCTCTGTTTGATTAGGGGCAGATCCAGAAATCATCGCTAGTGGGGGCGAAGGATTAAAAACCAATAAGATATTAAAAAAACAAACAAAATATTTAGAGCCGAGCCATCAATATTGTTGAGTAGGGATAAAAGATTAAAATATATCAAAATGGGGTAAAAAGAAATATTCAAAACAAAATATGAAATATAATTAATTAGATAAAATAGTTCGAATAGACAACATATTATAAATCATTGATATCATTATTAATATTAATTAAGAAACAAGGAAAAAAAACAATGTTATAAATTGGATTAAAGAAATGCCAAGAACAAAATTTTATGCTATAGGATTCAAACTCCTAATATTTAGAAAGAAGTCATATACCTTACCATCTAAGTTAACTCATCCTTTTGTTACTACTTCGTACAAATTAAAAAATTGTCTTAGACAGCCCATGAAGACCGGCCACTTCCTCCTTATTATTCCTAATTAAGACTTCATGATTCCTTGATTAGTTCTATTTCAATCTTGCTAGTGACGGTCAATTTGTTTTATAAATCCCTTCTCATGAATTATATATCTCAAAGTTTGAATTTTCTCATATATTGAATAAAGTGTTGTTTGCAAGGACCTTGTGGTCCAATGGTACCAAGTTGTTTCTTCATATGGGAGGTTGGGCCTTAGTGAAGGCGATATTGATTCTTCGTGTTTGAATAGGTTGAGAAAGTAGTTTATAAACAGATACTACATTGTAATACAGTCACTAGTTTGTTAGTTGACAGTTCACTTTTAGTCTATTTTTTATCAGAACATCTCATTTGGTCCTAGTATTATTGTGACATGACCATTTTTTGTCCTACATTAACAAAATTGTTGAAATGTCATTAAATACAAAGATTTTTTTTATCTTTTTCATAAAAGTATATTGACCCATTATATTTTTTATGTTTATTTTTTTGAAAAAATTCATAATCGAAAACCAAAATGTTCTTACATTTAACGGCACTTAAACTGTTTTGAAAATGGTCGTGCCAGAATAATAGTAACACCAAAGGATGATGTTTTGAAAAAAATAAAAAAAATAAAAATAATAAAAAAGAGACTAAAAGTATACTGTCTCACCTATTCAGATTAAACCTCACACCCGCACCTGAGGCGCCCACTCGCACCAAAACTGACTTCATAACATGTAGTCTAATTATTAATTTAAATTTTTAATTGGTATAATGGTATTAGAGTTAGACAAGAATATACATTTAGGTAGTGAATCATTGATCTTGCTTAGATCAAGGTCCAAGATTACCAAAATTTTATAATAAAAAAAATACGGTGCAATTTAGTAATTTTTGCATCTAAGTCAAATTTAAGGTGCGTAAGTTTTGTACTTAAGGTGCGTGAGTTTTGTGCTTAATCTGAGTAGTTGTTAAAACTTAAAGTGCGTGAGCTTTGTGCTTAAAGTGCGTGAGATTTGTGCTTAAGGTGCGTGAGTTTTGTGCTTAATGTGCGAAAGAGTTTGTGCTTAATGTGAGTATAGTTGGTAAAACTTAAAGTGTGTGGATTTTGTGCTTAAGGTGTGTGAAAATTGTGTTTAATGTGCGTGGGTTTTATGCTTAATGTGCATGAATTTGTGCTTAATGTGAGCCATTTTAAAATCTTAAGTGCGTAGGTTTTGCGCCTAATGTGCTTTATTCTGTACTTAAGGTGCGTGGTTTATGTACTTAATGTGAGTGATTCGTGTTCTTAAGGTGCGTGATAATTTGTATACTTAAGGTGCGGCATGTTAATGTTTAAAGTGCGTCCAACCGCACAACCGCACGAGAAGCATCACCTGCACCTGAACCCTTCCCATATGTCTATTATTTATATATTACATGTTCAACAACTAGGTTATGTAATGGATATTAAAATGTAAATTTAGTATGCAAAAATAAAACCATTTAAAAAGAATGAATCTTTTACCGTCACCTCTGTCATCATATATTTTTTGTTTTGTTTCGGGTAAACAACTAAACATTCTTTTTTTTCTGGGTATTTTGTAATGAATACAATAAAACCTTTGCTTTTATTTTCAAACAAGGAAAATAGAAAATATATGGATTTAAAAAATAAAAATATAAATA